TCCAAGCTCTATGAGGAAAGGAAGTGTGTGGAGATCATGATCTATACCTAAATCCATGGCCACATTTTGCAAATGACCTCTCTCTGAAAAAGACCTGAATGCCTCTGAACTTTGAAATGTTGGTGCTGGGAATCTAGAACTGCCCTCTGCTTTTGTATTTGTGATTTTTGCCTTTTTCTCTTAAGTCCTGACTCTTTGTTAGACTGTCTTTGAAATGTATAAGGGCCTTCCATTTATGTTACTTAGTTTCAACATTGTTAATGACTGCTCATCCTTTTCTAAAAGCTGAGGCCATCATGGAAGCAAAATTGAGCAAAAATTTTGTTCAGAAAGTTAAGTTGTTATGGCAGGTACAGCATGTGCTGTTACCAGTCACAATCACCTCTAGCTCTAGCAAGCAGATCGCAGTTGCAAGACCCAGTTTGCTGTAACTTTGGATAGTTCCATAAATTTAAGTGGTGCTGCTTTGATTTATAGCAACAGCGACCTGGTCCTCATTGCTTTGCATGAGAAGAATAACATATCTCCCACATATACTATATTTTCCTGCATATAACATTTTTGATTACCCTATATTCATTATTACTGACAAGGGGTGGTAATCCAAAATCACAGCTTCTATGGAGGCTGGGGCTATTTTGCCAAGAACAACACCATATACCAGCTTCTACTTCAGGATGAAGTCTGTTAGTATCTAGCAGATTTGTTTTTCATCAAAATAGAGTTAATATATGTGGCCCTTTAAAGGCTACATGGTTTCTGAAAAGGACTCTTTTGGGATCAAATTGCATTCATTGCAGAACTTGATATGGAGATGGTGAAGCTCATTAAAGAGCTTTATGGCATGTAGTCAATGCCACTACTACCACAAGTCTACAAAATTTTTCCAGATTTCAATTCCATGCATATTTTGGTTTCTTCTGAGCAAAACCAAGTGACACTGTAGGAAACTATAGGCTAAGAAAAGAAGGAAATAGGATGTGTTTCTCCGTTTCAGTAAGTCCTGCTAACTTGCAATAATATATTGCGTATCACTGTAAAAATCATTGAAATGCCAGACCAGAACACAAAAGACAGTATTAGGCATAGCCCACCCAGTTTCAAGAAAGGATTTAGATTCCAGTGACCTAACTAGCTGACTGACAACTTCTTTTGACCAATTTCTGCTTTAGGAACTGTCAAGTATTCTCACGTTTTTTCCCTTACAATAGTTTATCACGTTTAATCTGACATTCTTAGTGGTGTACTTAGTCACAGTACATTTTAGTAAATCCTAAAGTTCAGGCACTGGAATTGGAATTTAAGAAGAATTCAATAATCAAATTCAAAACAGTGGTTTCCAAGTCTTCACTTAGTCACTGCTTATGTAGTTTTTCAGCTATCCATGTAATTTCCTGTATCTCCAGGTAACTAAAATTTTGCTCCTGGACATGGACAGAAGTGTTTCAGCTTTGGTTTTCTGAGTGTGTCGGTGTCTATCACAAACATATTGACAGACTAGTAATTCCATACTTAAGCTGCTATAATGAGATGATTTTTGTTTTACCTGCCAGGAAGCCAGTTCAGGCTGTGAACTGAATGTTATAAGAATTACAAAAGCACACTTTTGGTAGCGTCACCTGCATTTTCATGGCCTCCTAAACATTTTGGAAGAAGCTGCCAAATTGAGAATTATTGTCTTGTAATTCTTTTGCAACTTCCAAGGTTTCTTAGAGGCATCATATTAATTCTTTTAGGAGCTCCCAAATCTGGTAGCCCAACAGAGGTGATGCTGCCACATCTCCATGTTCCCAGGTTCAGCCAGTAGCGAGTCTGAACATGTATTCACAATAGAAACACAAACACATATACAAATATACAGATATACATGGGTGGTCACACAGATCAACAGAGACAGAAAACGCAGCACTCATGCAAACACAAAGAGCATCAGTGGCCTCCTCCACTTCCTCTGGGTGCTTAGGATGAAAGCCCATTAGTATAAAATAAATAAATATATACACATATAAGCCAATATGAGTCTCGCACAATTCAACAATATCCTTTCCAGAATGACTCCCTTACCCCTGGACTAAACCCACTCAGTCTAAAAGGAGACCCAGAGTACCTCTCCCACAGACTCACAGAGGGTCACCTCCATTCCATGGGAAGCTGTGACAGCTTCTCTCTTTCTAGGTTATTAGAGTAGGTTATTAGAGTTCCCCCATCTGCCGTTGTGTCTCTCTGCGCCTTCATGTTCATGGAGATGCTCCTGTAATCACATTACCTAACAAATTCCTCTGTGTCTGAGGGTATCTCGAAGATTTTTCTGAAAGACTGCTACAGATAACTGCAATGAAAGTGTGACAGGGATGCTAACAGAGGAAGCAAAATACAATTGCGGCTTAGTTAATTAATTTTAGTTCCATTTGGTGCACAAATTAGAGCAATATTTTCTTATCCTAAAAAGCACTTGTAAAAGAGTAATGCTTTTAAAGCTAAAATCACAATTCTGCTTATTCAGCCTGGAGAGAACTGATGAGTCAAGACAGATGACAATGATAAATCAGGAAATTTGAGAAAATTACAGGAAAACAGAAGAAACAGATTTTTTTTTAAAGTTTGGCTTTTTGCTTTGTATTGTTTTACCACTGTGGTGAAATGTTGATGGAGGGTGGTAGAGGGGTGGGTTGCTGTGGATGGTGTATATTACAGCTGCCATTATTTCAGAGAGGATCTGTAGAACAAGAATGTGATACAAGGAAATGCAATATCACACTTGAAATTGTGCTTTCCTATGCATGTAAATTTGGATTTTATTTCTGAAATTCTGATCAGTGAAATGCAGTCTTATTTTTGCCCTGGGCCTGCAGTTACAGTGTGGGAGTAAGAGATGATGACTTTCATTATGTGGCTGCTACAAGCTGTGAAAACTGAATGCCCAGCCCATGGGTTACAACAGTAGCTCCTACTATCTGAAAGCATAGTTTAGAGCTCAAGTCATTTTGTTTGCTTAAGAATGTCTTTCATGTTGAAGTGATAATGTTGGCACACATTAATGAGAATTAAGAAGGTAGGGAGCACAGTTTATTTTATTTTATTGGCTATGAGGACATGGATGTTGAGGAAAGTTTTTAGAAATAACTTATGCGCATGACTGAGCCAGGACTGTTAGATTCTAATCCCAGTTCTGCCACTGAGTCACTGTGTGGCTGAAGGCATGTCATGGCTACCTTGGGACAGATACTGCCTCAGTGGGCTCAAGCTACTAGAAATCCAGAATCCTAAAACCACACCACTGTAGTAGTCCAGACACAGTCTGCCTGAGTAAGCCTGCTGCTGGGCCCAGGCTAACATGTCCTAGCTCTCAGGTAGGGTTATTAATGTAGATGCAGTTCAGGGCCAGCCTGGCTCAAAGGCCTGGCTTGTGGTGGCCCTTGTCCTGTAGGTCCAGGTGTCTTGTCACTGTGATGCTCTGACTTCCAGTCCTGGGCTCAGTGCAGGCCAGATGAACTCAGGTCTGCCTACACTTAGCAGTGCAGAAAGGCCTTTCATAACTTTATGTTTTGTTATCCCGCTGACAACGCTTTTTGAAACATGTGGATTTAAATATTGAGAGTTATTATACATAGGTGCAGTGCTGACATACGTAATGCATATATAATGGTTAAACTAAACCCTAAGTCTGACCAACTTTGCAGGTTTAAATATAGCTAGAAACCTGGTTCTGAATTTTTGCAGCTAGAAGACATATCTGTTCTTTACACTATTACCATAGCATCTTATATCTGCTTTAAATATGCAAAGAAGTTTTGAAAATGATGATATCAATGGCCATAAATTCATTATTTTGGCTTTCCTGTTGGATGGTCTAGGACATGAAGTTCCTTCTATGCAGGAAGCAGGTAGATGAAATATGCAAATAATCTTGGTATACAGCTCATGTGCTAAGCAAAAGAAAAAGATGCCTTCTGAAATAATTATGTTGAGTTTTATGCTATTATTGATATTACTAAGTATGCCAACAGCAAGAAGGTTCTAACCTGACTTTGAGTCTGATTCTGTTAGGAGCCATACAAACACATGGTAAGAGACAGCCCTTTTGTCAAAGACTTTACAATCTTCAGTCAGAAGTTTTATTAAGACCCACTTCTTCACATGTTTTTTGAGACAGAGAGGCAGCCAACACTGTGACTGCAAATCCAAACACATAATGCTTTATGAATAACTTTATTGAAAGCAGTGGTTCTAAAGGTGCAACATGATGTTGAAAATTTAAACAAAAAAAAAAAAAAAAAAAGAAGAGGAGGAAATTATAAACTACTTATATGTTTTAATCAAGGTCCCAGCCCAAATTTAAGGAGGAATAAAAGGTGAGGGTGAAAGGTTAAAGACATGAAAATCTTTACAGTAATGAGTAAGGTGATAAGAAATGAATGAGGAAGGACATAATAGGGGTAAGGGTGGAAGGAGAAAATTAAGTAAGAGGCAAGGGTAGGCTGACTACATGCTCTACTTTAAGTTGTATATTAATTTTCTGTGGCATTTAACAGGCAGGAAATTTTTGACATTATTCAAATTAGAAAAGAATCTTTTGTTTGTTTAAATATGAAAATACATAATCTCACCAGTATCCCAACCTCAGAGTTGTTAGAGAGAGATGAGAAATACATCCATCAGTAAGGTAGGTATGGAGGTTTCTAACTAATGCAAGGGTTTTCCTTGTTTTGCAGCATAGTGAATGCTAGCCCCGGTCCTGTAAATAGATAAGATAAATGGGACTATTTAGGGAAACAGAAGAGAGGTTTGGGTTTTCGATTTTAGCACAATTGTTCTTTTGAACTCTATTGCCATTTGCCAGTGATCTTCTGGATGAAATACTGATTTTCTGTCCCATGAGGAACATTTTTCCATTGTGATTTCTTTTGAAAATAACATTTTCAGAGAGCATTTAAAATATTTGAACATGCTAAAATATCAGTATACATTTTATTAATATTTTCAATATTTTTCCTCCACAGCTATATGGGAAAGAAGGATTAGTCAAAGAAGAAGAAAGAACGACTGTGAGCATGCACGTGGCACATATGTAAGAATTTACCTGTTGGAGCCAGGCTTTGTGTCAAAAAGGTAGGTTCTCTGACAAACTCTGGAATCACAGAATTCCCACACATGCTTGAGCTCTCCTGTGGCTGAAAGTTATCCAAGAGCAAGACAACCATAACTGTTGTGTATTCAAAAGGCAATTGGACAGACAGGCAGCATGGGTGAGAGCTGAAGAAGTCTAGGTAGTTGGCTAAGGGGTGGGCAGAAGGATAGTCTGGCACTCCTCCTGCTTCTTCCTTACTGATCGTATTTAAATCTACTTTTCCCTTACATGGGACACTCAGATTTTCCTTTCCTACTTTTTAACTTTAAAAGCCGCCTCACCTTTCCTCCAGTGGCCCATTTCCTCAGCCCTAATATTCCTCCAAGGCAGAGCAGTGTAACTCAGAAGAGGCCAGTGGTACTGTTATCTCACAGTAAAGTGGGTAAGAATGAAAGGGGAATCAGGATTATCCAGATTTTCAGGATCAGCCTAATTAGTACACAGCTTCTTCAATATGCCTCCTTCAAAGTACACAGGTCAGACTCTTTGACAAGGAAAATGTATTATTCTTAATTGATAATGGAGTCTTAAATTATTCCTCTATTTATGGCAGCAAAATATTTCCAACTGTCTCCTTAACTTAAATAAATGAATAAAGCAGTATGTATTTAGAAAGTCATTAACTTTAATGTGCTTCACTTCCAGCTGCTGGACTAGCCAACAAAATAACATTTGTAAAACCTGACTTCATACAAAGTTCTTAATTTAGAATGCTATTGTGCAAATCTATCGTGAAGTCTGGGAAAATTAGAAATTAAACACTGATATTCACTACAGGAAAACAAAGAAAATTAATAACTGGATTTTTTTTTCAACTTGCTTGAATATTTAGATAAACATCAGATAAGATATGGGGGAGCAACATGGAAGAGGCTTAGATAACTTTTCAAATACATTAAAATTTAGAATAACAGACTTAATATTCTTCACATTTTGATAGAATTTTACCAACTGTTATTCTCTGGACTTACCCCAGACTGAATGACATCAGAGAAATTCCTTGTATCTCCTCCTGAAGGAATACCTGATCTCCTCTATGTAAGAGCAATGCCAGAGATTCCCTGTTTGCAGATGTCTTATGTCAGATGCTGAGAAACAAAAAGCTGATTTGTCCAGTGCCCGTCCACAAAGACTAAGTATTGGCCTTGTCAAAGAATGTAAGACATTAACTGATGGCTTCTGCAATGCCATGGGAGATGGTTCAGAGAGACTCTGCAGCAAATGTGCATGCAATATAGGGATCCTCTACACACTGTCAGAGTATGTCTGCCGTGCACTTACAGTAGCTCTGATCCATCTGATATTAGACCTATAGCACTGACAGGGGCCACTCTCCAAAATTATATAAACAGAAATGTCAGTCCACATTTTCTTTTCAGATAGACCCATTTTTAATAGCTAGTAAAAGAAACTTTACCAGTAAAGCTATCATAGCTAGAAAAATCTAGGTAGGAAAAGGAACTTTAAATTTCCGAGGAATCTGCACTAAAACAGAGCTAATGCTGCTTCTACAGTTCCCTCTCTGCACTTTGCTCAGCTTAGATGCTATGAAGTCTGCTCAGGGCTCTCTGCTATTGCACTTACTACTGGCATAGTAATCACTATAAGCTGAGTGAAGAAGTTATTTTTGGCTTTACCTTAAGGATCTCAAGTACAAAAATGACTTGTGAAGATTCTGCAACACATTGAAACATGTCAGCAAATCATGTGCTTGAAAACTCAAGCTGGAGTGTGAAGATGAAGCCATGGGTATTTCTTACTATTGCCTGGCATAAATAGCTAATGGCAAGATTAATCACCTTATTATATATATTGGCTTGTTTTTCTAAAATCAAGGACTATATCTACATAAGTTAGATCCTGAATAAACTGTTTTCCAAAAATGAAAGGGTGTCCACTGTGATAAGAGATATAGCACAGTTACTATGTATGAACACTGGAAAATGACATTTCCTTTATTGGAATTCAATCATATAAAATTCTTATGTTTAGCATCCAGGACTGGAAGAGCATTTGTCAAGGAAAAGCATATGGTTTCTCACACAGGACTGCACAGTAGCCTATTATGACCATCAGACCACTGACTAAATGCAGTGAATGTGAAATCTGAAAAGTAGTTATAAGGCTACAGTTGAATAGCCAATTTGGGAATTGAAATTTAGGGTCTAAAGTGTTTTTTACCTGGGCACCAAATTCTCCTGCCACTGGAAATGAATAACTGACATTGACTTTTTAAACATTGCTTGTCTCTAAAGTGGGAAAACAAGGCCTTTGGGTATACAGTGCTTACCGCAAATCATAGACATGCTCTGTTCTTTGTTTTCTCAAGCTTGCCATCTCCTTCTTTAGCCATCCACCCATTCTGATTTTTGTTTTATTAATATTGAACATTCACAGATACAAATTCTTCTGCAAGTGATTAATTTTACAAGTGAAATCCTTACTCCCTGCCCAGCTTTGTAAGAAAACAAGCCTATAAGGATCTCCAGACAGAAGCAGAAGCCATTGAATTTAGCTCATGGTTATAACTAAATATATTTAAACGTATGCATATACAAACACCATTCATGTTACCTTTTTCACTTTGTTTCTTGTTCACTATATTGTCTTCTAAATCAATTAAAGGACAATGGTGGGAAAAATTGTTTCACAAATATGAAATAAGCATAATACTAATCTAGGAACAAGGAAGATGCAAAAATGTATAAATAGATGACAAAAAGGAGAGGAAAGAAGGTGGGTATTTCCAGTGTCCAAATTTATGAGGGAAATATTAGAAAAGCAGAAAAATCTCAAAAAGAATATAAGAATATAAGAACAAAAAGTAGAGTGATGAGTGAGGTATTCCATTACAGACTAGTGAAGATGTCATAGTCTTAACGTATGCTTAACTAAAGATCAAATTATATGCTCTTTTGCAATAGGAATAAAAGACTCTCAGATTCCACATAGACAGATTATATGAGCAAAGTAGCTAAATTAATGAGCTGGGGAAAAGCAGGTTGATTAATCCTTAGCTGTTATGACTGTGGTGAGGATTTGATAAAAAGCCAAGAAAAGCAACCATAATAGGGAGCTCCTATTAAGCTTTCTAGCTGAGAAACAATGTTGAGGTGTAATTTTAATTAGGATTGTGAGTGAAAGACAGCAGAAAGTAGCTTTCACACTTAAGAATTGATGAGTATGAAACATGTTCCATATTAGTGAGGAACAGTATTACATTTATTAAAGTTTATCCATTTTCATTTTGTGGCTGAAATATTTTTTTTTTTTTTTTTTTTGCATACTGTGACTACCTTTTTGAATATTCACTAGACTATTATTTTAAAACTTCTTACTCAAGGAAAGAACAGTCTCTGAAAAGTAACCAAGCAGGAATAACTCTTTTTCTAGTGACCAGAGAAATCTAGTTTATCTGAATTTAACGTTTGAAAGTCTACTCCTAGAAGAGATGCCTTAGTTATATAAATAATCAGGTATAACTTTACTTGTAGCTTAGAAATCAGAAGAACTTTTTAAAAAGTGTAGATTTCTTAGGGAGCAGTATGTGAATGCCAAGTCCTCCATTTACCCCTTGGTCATATTAAATTATTATTTCTGTGAAATATGTGTATAGTGCAGTTTTGTATGCAGTGCATACTGCAATCTTATGCATTAGCCACTAAGATTTAGTTACATTAATTTAACTTCTTTGACCTAAGTAGCCCTGATGTAAATCTTTTCAACAGCTTGCTCTCCTTTAGCTGCTGGGGGATTCTGCAAAACCTTATCACTGCTGTCTTTGTACTCTTACTCTGAGGAAAGCTGCGGCAACATTGACATCAAGTAGCTAGGAAAACATCTGCATGCACATTACATTGACTTCTTTGGGTTCAGATCAGCTAATGAGCTGGCTGCTTCCATGTAAATCAAGTCAACCAAAAACAGTTAATGCTTTCATCAGGTGAGCAGTGCTCTGGAGTCTCTTTGAAGGTGGAGCCACATTCACTGCAGTGGCTGAATGTTGCCCATATAAACACCCCATCTCAAAGATGTTGTTCTGTTTTTCAGACAGGCTTACAGTTGTTGAGAGGAAGCATGCCACTGTGCCAGGTACCAGAAGCTAGACCAATTTACTTTGAATTTGTGGAAGGGGGGAAGAAAGAAAACACCTCAAAAAATCCCATGAGTGATTTTGGAGACATTAACAAAATAGAAAGCATGAAAAGCTGAGATCACATCTGGGATTTATCACCGTGTTTTGATAAACCTTCAGGCTTAGCCAGCACTCTATCCTGCACTAGGGATTCAGTGAAATTACAGCACACGTGTTCTCAACGGACTTTGTCCGATCAACTTTATACTTGAGTGTTTTTGACTGGTTAATTACCTGCATAGACAAGTGAGGAGTTCAGAGAAAGGTGACTTTTTCTTGTTATGAAAGTCAAGCATGAGAAGTATTACCAGCGAGTGTGACCATAAGTAGAAGAATGGGAATTGTTAATTTGTTTTACTCCTAATTTAAAGGTATTTTCTGGATCTTTTTTTAGAGGAATAGATCCAATATACTTAATATCAAATTGATGTGTTGACATATTACCATTAAATGAGAGATCCATAAAAAAAGATGCTTTTAAAATTACTTGGCCTCAGATTAGTTGTCCAGGGCCTTTAACAGTGCATGATCTCTGAGGTGACTAAGCGTGGCAACCCAGCTCAATTTTCTGCTTGGAAAAGCCAGGGAGAGAGACCTAGCTAACAAGATTTAGAGTAATTCTTCTATTACTATACTTTTAAATATTTATGCAGAAATATGACAGCTTTGACTTGGGAGCTGCTAACAGCTGTATCCCTAGAATATTCTGTAGATGAGGGCCCTGTCTGAATGTCTAAACATGCTGAATTCATGGCCATTTTCAATCTAGGCAGAGCAATGGCATTAAAAGTGCTCTCCTACAATGTCTCTAAAGACAGACTGCTGGGCAACATGGAATTCATGCCT